CAGGGAAGTCCGGGTGAGGGTGATCCCCTGCCCTCCATTAATGCTGACTTCGTGAAGGAACATCTTGAGAAGCTGGATACCTTCAAGTCAGCCGGCCCCGACAATCTTCACCCCAGGGTACTCAAGGAGCTGGCGAGCATCATAGCCCAGCCTCTAGCACGGATCTTTGAAAACTCTTGGCGCTCTGGTGTAGGGCCCGAAGACTGGAAGAAGGCCAATGTGGTGCCTATCTTCAAGAAAGGGAGGAAAGTGGATCCGGCTAACTATAGGCCCATCAGCCTGACTTCTATCCCGGGGAAGATCTTAGAAAAGTTTATTAAAGAGGCCATCCTTAATGGACTGGCCGACGCCAACATCTTAAGGGATAGCCAGCACGGGTTTGTTGCGGGTAGGTCTTGCTTGACCAATCTCATTTCCTTCTACGACCAGGTGACCTATCACCTGGACAAGGGAGAAGAGATTGATGTCATATATCTTGACTTCAAAAAAGCCTTCGATCTGGTGTCCCATGATCGCCTCTTGGAGAAACTGGCCAATTGTCGCCTTGGGTCCTCCACGATCCACTGGCTGGAAAATTGGCTCCGGGGTCGGACCCAGAGGGTAGTAATCGATGGAAGTCACTCATCGTGGTGTCCTGTGACCAGTGGGGTCCCCCAAGGCTCTGTCCTTGGACCCATACTGTTCAACATCTTCATTAATGATGTGGACACTGGAGTCAGAAGCGATCAGAACTGGCCAAGTTCGCCGATGACACCAACCTCTGGGGCAAAGCATCCACACCAGAAGACAGGCAGGTTATCCAGGCTGACCTGGACAGGCTCAGCAAGTGGGCGGACGAGAATCTGATGGTGTTCAACGCCGATAAATGCAAGGTTCTCCACCTTGGGAAAAAAAACCCGCAGCATCCTTATAGGCTCGGCAGTGCTATGTTGGCTAGCACTATGGAAGAAAGAGACTTGGGGGTCATCATTGACCACAAGATGAACATGAGCCTGCAGTGCGATGCGGCGGCTAGTAAAGCGACCAAAACGCTGGCTTGCATCCATAGATGCTTCTCAAGCAAATCCCGGGACGTCATTCTCCCCCTGTACTCGGCCTTAGTGAGGCCGCAGCTGGAGTACTGTGTCCAGTTTTGGGCTCCACAATTCAAAAAGGATGTGGAGAAGCTTGAGAGAGTCCAGAGAAGAGCCACGCGCATGATCAGAGGTCAGGGAAGCAGACCCTACGATGACAGGCTGAGAGCCCTGGGGCTCTTTAGCCTGAAAAAGCGCAGGCTCAGGGGTGATCTGATGGCCACCTACAAGTTTATCAGGGGTGACCACCAGCATCTGGGGGAACGTTTGTTCACCAGAGCGCCCCAAGGGATGACGAGGTCGAATGGTCATAAACTACGACAAGACCGTTTCAGGCTGGACATAAGGAAGAATTTCTTTACTGTCTGAGCCCCCAAAGTCTGGAACAGCCTGCCACCGGAGGTGGTTCAAGCGCATGAACACCTTCAAGAGCAAACTGGATGCTTATCTTGCTGAGATCCTATGACCCCAGCTGACTTCCTGCCCTTTGGGCAGGGGGCTGGACTCGATGATCTTCCGAGGTCCCTTCCAGCCCTAATGTCTATGAAATCTATGAAATCTATTTGATTTGGATTAAGAACATTTTGGAATGCTGTAATGTGGTGTAAGTCTAATAGCATTAGCAGAGCTCATCCATGTTTCAGCCCTGAGTGGTGAGGGTATGCAACCAGGATCTAGAATCCCTTCATCCAGTGGGGGTTTCAATCTGGTTCTCTTCAAATGCCAAGTACACTGTGCTAACCACTGTGTCACGGGTTAGGAATATGTCACGTGTATTCAGCATCCCATGTTTCAAAATGGCAGTGGGGGTGCTTTAATTAAAACTCATCGAACAAGCCATTTTGAAACACAGGATGCTGAATACGTGTGATGTTGCAGAGTTTTAATTACAGTGGCTGTCCAGGAGCTGCTCTAATTAAAACACTCCCCTCTGCCAACACCCTAGAGCGTGTGTATAGACACCTAGGCCACATCCAGACGTGCATGGACGTTTGGTTGTCCAGGGACAAGTAGCTACTTGTCCCCAGGGAACACCCATGCCATGCATGCTTTGGTGCATGGCAAGTTGCCCTGGGTGGGGTAGGGGAGACTGGGGCCAGCACAGTGCTGGCCCCAGCAGCCTTAACTGGGGACCTGGGGGCCTCCCAGGGCTGCACCGCAACGATTCTGCCACATGGAGCCTGGCTGGCAGCGGTGTGTGGCTCCAGATGGCGTTGCTCCAGTTTTTTTTTCCTGCAGGTTTTTTTGATGGATATCCAGGAGTCAAAAAAACCCACAGAAAAAAAAACTGGCATAGACACACTTGGGCAGCATGCCTTTGCAGCATGGAGAACACTGGACTGTGAGGTATATGGTGCTGCAAATGTGTTCGCAGCGCCACATACTGCATGACCACGCTCATCTGTTCGAGCTCCTGGAGTCTTTAAGATATATCAGCTTCTTAAGTGTTAGGCAGGTTAGGCATGACTCACAGCTGCATTAGATTATCCTGCAGTGGATGGAAGTCACAGAGAGCAGTAAGGAGGGGAAGTTTCTGTCCCACTGGGAACAAGGGTCCAGGCTAGAACCCAGGGCCTGCACTGTTCAAGAACAGCATCCACACTCTCTACCTGGTTCTCTTCTGTCCTTCCAGTGCAATGTATCAATCTACTTCTCTTGGCTGCTCATTGGCCCCACTTCGAAAGGAAAGGTGGAGGGCCTGGGTGATCCTGACTTGTGGTATTCTGGTTAGAGCACTGTGATGGGAAGTTAATAAGCAGTAGTGTAGTATAACTTGGGGTGGGTGAGCCTGGCATCAGCCCTGGACATTCACTTACAGGGGGCACCAGAATGGTGGATTCCCAGGGGGTCTGTGGTGCTATACCAACAGCCCTGCACCCCAGCTGTAGCAGCAGCAGCAACAGCTGGGGCCAGGCAGACCACTCTGTGTTAGTAACAGCTGGCAACCGAGTCCCTGGAGCAGGTACGACCTGCACCCCCGCCCCCTTCTCTATAGTGTTCAGCACCTTTTCCCCCTCCCCTTTGCCCCCAGCCACCACCAGGATTTTGCAGAGGGTGCAAAACCTGCCAATTTTGCTTCTATTAACAAGACCCAAGTTCAAACTCCCTAAAAAACTGGGAGGGTGCTGCTGTTCATGGTTTCTTGTCCAGCTACAAGTTGATGACTTATGGTTTGGAATTCATTTGAACTTGGGTTGTAGACATAATACACCTTAAACCAGTGCATGGTCCTCTTCAGAATGTACTCCTAATGCATTGAAAGGTGTTAAACTTGCATAACTAAAAGCAAAATCAGGCTTGAAACGTTTCAGTGATAACTTCCAATACTATGTAATTGATGATGATAAAAGCAGAGCATATGTCGTACATTGAACTAACGAGTTTCTCTCTCTCTCTCTCTTATAGATTTTGGCAATCATTTCCATCATGTTCATTGTATTATCTACAATTGCCTTGTCACTTAACACACTTCCTGAACTACAAGGCATGGATGAATTTGGACAAACCACAGATAATCCTCAGCTTGCCCATGTGGAGGCAGTATGCATTGCATGGTTTACAATGGAATACCTCTTGCGGTTCCTATCCTCGCCTAAGAAATGGAAGTTTTTCAAAGGCCCGCTGAACGCTATTGACTTGCTAGCTATTTTACCCTACTACGTCACTATCTTCCTCACAGAATCAAACAAAAGTGTACTTCAGTTCCAAAATGTACGAAGGGTGGTTCAAATATTTCGGATCATGAGGATACTCCGAATTCTAAAGCTTGCCAGGCACTCGACTGGTTTACAATCCTTGGGATTTACACTGAGGAGGAGCTATAATGAGCTTGGATTACTCATCTTGTTTTTGGCCATGGGCATTATGATCTTTTCCAGCTTAGTATTTTTTGCAGAAAAAGATGAAGATGATACAAAATTCAAAAGCATCCCAGCTTCCTTCTGGTGGGCAACTATCACCATGACAACAGTAGGCTATGGAGACATCTACCCCAAAACTCTTTTAGGTAAAATAGTAGGAGGGTTGTGCTGCATTGCTGGAGTACTAGTGATTGCTCTTCCAATTCCAATCATTGTCAATAACTTCTCTGAGTTCTACAAAGAGCAAAAGAGGCAGGAGAAAGCTATCAAGCGCAGAGAAGCACTCGAAAGAGCAAAAAGAAATGGCAGTATTGTCTCCATGAATATGAAGGATGCTTTTGCTCGCAGTATAGAACTGATGGACATTGTGGTAGAAAAGAACGGTGAAGGTGTAAGCAAAAAGGATAAAGTTCAAGACAATCACTTATCTCCCAACAAGTGGAAATGGACCAAGAGAACTCTCTCAGAAACTAGCTCTAGTAAATCTTTTGAAACAAAGGAACAAGGATCTCCAGAAAAAGCTCGGTCCTCTTCTAGTCCCCAACATCTGAATGTCCAGCAGTTGGAGGACATGTACAATAAAATGGCAAAGGCTCAGTCACAGCCAAATCTTAACACTAAAGAGTCAGGTCAGCCTGGAAAGCCAATGGAAGAGCTAGAAATGGAAACTGTTCCTGGCCCTACGGTCCCTCTGCTGACAACCCGTGCAGACGGGATCATTGACATGAGGAGCATGTCAAGTATTGACAGTTTTATAAGCTGTGCTGCAGAATTTCCTGATTCTGGGAGGTTCTCCCACAGCCCACTTGCTACACTTCCCTGCAAAGGTGGTGTTAATCCGATTCAGGAGCAAGTCAGGCCAGAGGTGAGCGGGGCCAGGTTTATAGAGACAAATCCCAACTCTGAAGGCAGCCACCACTCTTCTTTTTTCATAGAAAGTCCCAAAGGGTCCATCCAAGCCAGTAATCCTTTAAAATTAAGATCTCTGAAAGTCAACTTTATGGAAGAGGACACCAGCACATTAGTACCAGCATCAAATGTACTGAGAATATACCCAGATCCTTTCAAGAACAGGGGAGTTGCTGCTGCAGATAGCTCCCTACTCTCTGATCGATCATTAGTGAGTCCAGAAACCTCCATCTATACTACTGCAAGTGCTAGAACACCCCCAAAGTCTCCAGAGAAGCAGACAGCAATAGCTTTCAACTTCCATGATGCCAGCATACATAAATACATAGATGCTGACACTGATGACGAAGGTCAGTTGCTTTATGACTCAAGCCCTCCCAAAGGCCTCCCAGGAAACATAAGCCCCAAGTACAGTGTTACAAACAGTGGTTATCTAAAACAAAAGGATATCATTTATAGAACGGAGAAGAACCATCTAGGGGCTGCTGCTTTACCCACCTCGCCTAAGTTGATAGGGCAAAACTGCATTTACTCCATGGAAGGTATTACTGGAAAAAGCCAGGGCAATCAGGAGACGGTCAGACTAGAAAATCACATTTCACCAGAGGTCCATGTATTACCTGGTGGTGGAGGACACACTAACATACGTGATCAAAGCATCTGATGTGTGCTCCCCAAAAAAACTTGTTGAAAGTTAAAAGAAATGTCTTTACACTCAACACAAGAAAAGAGCTTCTGCATGGCATGAACTTTGACTGAAACAAGCCACCTGTTTCTAAAAGTCTAGGAGGAGGTCCAGTGTGGGTTTGTGAAAATGTCCTTCTCTGGAACAGCTATACTAACATTGCCCAAACTCATGCTACCAATGTCAGTCAAAATAAGGACTACGAATCTTGATTACACATCAGTCTCCTTTCATGTCCTCCATTGAAGCCAGTGTGACCAAATATACATCCAATCCCCTTGTACGATGGATCTCCTTTTGGAAATGTTAACATCTGATTTGCATTGCTTCTGTAAAAGAGGCCAAAGCAGCCAGATTTAAACTCTGGAACAAATTACTGGGGTCGGTATAAAGTTAGCAGAAGTGCAACACTCGCTGCTTCAGAGCAGCTGTTCCAAATATTCCCTTCCACAGCTTCCTCTCTGATGGATACTATGCCTAAAGGTAACAGGGAACACTCTCACTATGGGGAAAATCAAACCATTTAAAACAATGGTGGTCTAGAGAATTAAATTATTAAAATGCTCTCTGTGTGTTTATACAAGATAATAGTACAAGATACTGTAGGACCTGAAGTTTTATTTTGAAATATCAGCAGGGTGAGTTGCACCACTTGTATCTAATTTAAAACACCCCCCATTGGAACATAGTGAAACCCGTGGCTAAAAGCAGTACTTACTTTAGGGCTATAATATGGTCCTAGAATAAACAACAGCCCACGCTGGGAGAGTGTGAAGGAGCCATGCAGAAGGAGAAATCTCCAGAGGCATTTTGGTTGACTCTGCCAGAATTCCTCCACGGTGCTGGGGGACAGTACACTTACGTGAGAGCTCAGCCCTTTTATTGGGTGTAGCATGCTCTTGCTTACTGTTCCACTACCCCACGTCGGCTGTCCTGTGCGGAAGGGTGGGGCCTGCGCCCGGCCTCGTTTGGAGAGTCCAAGCATAGTGACAGCCCTAGGTTGTACAGTGCTTGTGTTGTGGCCAGCCCCTGTACAGGAGGGCAAGGAATGGCAGGGGTGGCTCCTTGGGCTCCTCCCGCTGCCACTTGCACTCTCATGCAAGGGTCACCTTGGAAAGTCAGAGAGGAGCTGGTCGGTCAGAAGCGTTTTGCACTCAAGCCGTGTCAAATGAAAAGATATGCAAGTGTTAAACAAATATGCAAAAAGAGGGATTGCTGAATTCTGAACCACTGGCCTAGTTGTGCTCTCACTTGTAATGATGCAAATCAGCAGCGACTCCTCAGAAACCAAACGGAGTTATGCACGCGCAAAATGGAAGCAAGTCAGAGAAGAATCAGGTCCAGAATTTTAATATCATTCAATCAGTTTTTTAGAATTGACCATTTTAAACAAAAACACAACTAGCAGCCACCAGCCTAGGTTTTGGGGTTTTTTTAAAATATTGTCCTTCAAATACAAGTTGCATCAAATTGTGTAGGAAAGTAATTTTTGTTTGGTTTTTAATATTTAAAAGTAAAAGCACTTTATGTTGACTTTTTTTCCTTCACAAAGGTGGAACAACAAAACAGAGTGCATATATATATAGAGAGAGAGAGAGAGACAGATAAAAAGAATCTAGCACTTTAAACAAGCACTATCTTAATTTGTGCCTCCTGTCATGAATGTGCTTTGTTACACGTCTGTAACAAACCACAATCCGTCTTGTGATAACTGTGATGGTAACCATTTTATGTTGCGTCTGTTTTACTGTAAAAGTAAATTGTAAATAATTTAGTCAATAAGCATTTCGTACATATTTATGAGTACCTGCTGGGCTGTGTAACTACTTGCATGCAACAGGTCTTGGTACGTAAACATAACGTGTAACTTTTTATAAAGAATACATTATGTGTTGGAGGAAGCCCATGAACCACCTGTGTCTGGCGCATTCTGTTCCTTTCTCTTGTGAAATAGCTGTTGATTAGTCCTGAACGTAACGAATGGTCTGTCCATCCAAGCTGTATGACACTTCTGTCTGTGATCAGTAAGAGTGAGTGCAGCATGTACAGACAAAAGCAATAAGCACATGTATGTTTTAAGGAATCATTATGGGTTGTAAGTATAGTTTTTTAGGTCTTTCCTTGGCACAATACTGTACACATGCAGGGATCCATATGTGCTGCAGTTATCTTGATAATTCCCCTAGGGAATTGGGGTACTTTCTTTTACTTGCTTTTACCTGTTAATTTCCTTGAGTAAGGAGTAAAAACTGAGTAATAATTGCAAGAATTTGCCCGATCACTGGAGAGCAGACCTCATTCCATGCAAAGAGTTACACAGGTGGTACTCAAGCTAAATAAAAAGTACCTGTACTCACAAAAGCATCTTCAGAGAACCTAGATAGGGCCAATTCCTGAGGGTCCTTAGCTTTTGTTCTGTCCTTACTCAGTCAAAACCCACATTAATTTGAACGGGAATTTTGCCTGATTAAGGATTTCAGGCTATGGCCTGTAGTAAATACAAGTGTACTTAGGGGAACTATTGTATTGCTGAGATACTTGTTAAGATTGAGTCATTATTAGAAAGCAAAGTTAAAGTGACTTTCCAGCAGATAAGCTTTAAATATTCATTTATTCTATGGGCTCTTAGACCATAGAGTGGAAATGAGAAATTTTAAAGAGAACAGTCTTAACATAATCTCTGTGTTTCAGTAATCAATCAGTCATGTCTGCCATCAGCACAAATGTAAAAAAAAATAAATTAAAAAAATAAAAAAAAAATCAGGGAAAAATAACTTTTTTGATAAAGTAAATAATAGTGATTTCCAATTTAAATATTTTTAGAGCTGATGCTTTCGTGTGGAAAAAGTCATATTTTACATATCAGGAAAGTGGACGTTTAAATATAGCCATATAGTGTAGTATTTTCCAGACCTTCATTCAAATTGATATACCAGTATTTGGTTTATAGATGGCACTGACAAAAATGTACAGATCAATAATTACATCATTTTTTACCAATAATCAACTGGTGCAACTCTCCTTGTAACCAAAGGCCCTCTCTCTGCCTTGTGTGATCAGTACGACACACACCTTATATCATCAGTTTAGTCTTACCTTTAAAGTAGCATTTTATGGAGTCACTTTTGAAAGCCAAGTTCAAAAGTATCACTAAAAAAATCTACCTTTTAAGTCTTAATAGCCAAAGTCCTATAGATTTCTTATAGAAAGAGATTATTTTAAAGTTAAGCATATAATATGCTTAAAGAGCATTTCTTTCTTATGTGTGTGTGAAGATGTAGCTCAGATTTGTGCCCAGTTTAAAAATATATATAATTAACTTATTTTAGTGAAATAAAGTTGGAATAAGAAGTACCCATATATGTGCCCATAGCACATATATATATTATGTAAGCACTGGGAAATCTACTCTCAAATGAAAAGCTAAGCTAGAGTAAGTCTGTACTCATTACAAAAGAAAGGGCAGTGCTTTGAAAAAAAAAAATTTTAACTAACCAAATCCTATAGGTATTTAAAGGATGGTTTCATTTTGCAGTTCATTTGCTACACATTTCCCTGACATTATAAAACTGGGCGACGGGATGGGACAGGATGGGAATATGCGGTATCTCTTGCATCAGGCTAAAGTCTGCAGTTCAGTCACTAACATCTAGCGTCCTGTACTGTGTACCATGTGTCAAGCAAGCTGAGAGAGGGTTGCCTACTGCTGCAGAGGACATTATATCTGAAAGACCATGTATGCGTGATGTCTGGAGTTCTTGCTTGTAACTCAATCAATCAATTTTTTTTCCTTTAAATATAAATATATAAATATATATTTATGTGCGGAAAGAATGGGTGCAGTTTTTTAAACGAGGAGGCAAAGATTCTTTGACTTTTAGCTTTGTACAGAAGAAAACAGAAGTAACTTATTGTAGTAGATTTCTCAGTGCCTTTTCCAAGACAACTTCACCTAAGCACACTTAAGGAAAAAGAAAAACAGTCTCTCCTGTGAAACCCACATTTGACGAGAGGTTCAAGAATCTATAATGTAGAAGAAGAAAAAAGAAAACCACTGGAACGCACATTCCCTTTCTGAACATGCTGTGTGTCAAAGGCCAGGGGAATATTAGTCTGTGCACGTCACGCAGAAACAAATCCAATGGGGTTGGTTTCTTTGGCAACTATGGCTGTGATAAACTGTAGCCTTTTCTTCCCTTGCAGCTAATAAGAAAAACATTTCTAAGGAAAACAGTATTCTCTTCTGTAAAATTGTAATGTATTGTTAATATTTGTACCTATTGTATATTTATGTCTTCACAGAATTATGACTGGTACAGTTTATAGTAAATAACAGGGGTATTTAAAACTCATTACAGAAGACAAGGTTTCTAAAGCCAGGTTCTCTCTCTGTTGATAAATTCCACATAAATGTTATCTACAATAGTTTTGAACGCCTCATTTTAAGCAAACAGTAGACTTACTAAGTAAGGTAATGCAACAATGGAAACTGTATGGCATTTATGTTGTATTACATAGCTCAAGCTCAGACAGTCAACAAAATGGGGAGTTTGAGCTTCCCAGACTACTCCAAGATTAGTTAAAATGAGATATTTATTTAAGAAAAGCTCTCAGATTTTTATCAATCATTAAGCTTACGGTAACCAAAAGGAACAAAGCACTATCTTAGATTGCTTTAGAATCACCCAGTCGGGGAGAATATGGCTTTAAATAGTTCTTGATTAAAGTACAGATGTTCTAGTTACCTCTGTACCTTCTGTTTGCCATTGTGTTGGCTCTATAAGTATCTGATGTATTGGGAAGTCATGTGACTTTCATGCATTCCAGAGTAGTCTATTTTTCTGTTCAGATTCAAAAAATTATATATATGAAATATAAATATATATCTGTATTTTTAGCAAATTTATAATAGGGCAATCAAGTCAAATTTCTTCTTTTTGTATTACAGAATAATATATTAGAGGCTTTATGGTTGTCCACTTAACATAGCTGATTTCCTGACCTCTCTTTTTTTTTGTTATGTTTCTGTTCTGAAAAACACCTGCAACATCCCTCCTGGAAGTGCGTCCACCAAAAGTCATAGAGTCTGTCTGATGTTGTCACATTTTTGTATTCTCCTGTTTGTGGTACTCAAAAATAACAAGGGACTGACTGGCTACGGGAACTAAGATGTTTCTTCTTAGAACAAGAGAGGCTGGGTAGAGGCTGATCTCAGCTCCACTGGTGTAAATGTAGAGGAATTCTATTGACTTCAACTCTTAACCGCAGCCTTTGGCTTCAGTGGAGTTTTTCCAGATTTACACTAATTGAACTAGGTGAGATCAGAATCTTGCCCAGTATGTTGAAGGAACTAAATTTGGCAACTTCATTGTCATAAAAATTACTAATGGAGTCAATTGCAAAAGTTTGAGAGAGGGAGTGGGGCAAACATCATAATCAAAACTTCAGGCTCTAGTCCAAGGCCAAGACCTGATGATGCATTCTTTATTCAAGTGAAGCTCCCAGTGAAGCCTGAAGCCCAAATGGGAGTTTTGCCTGTGTAAAGACTGAAGGGTCAAGCAATTCTTCTGTATTTTGGTATTTCAGTCCTAGGCAAATCCAGGAAAGGGGGGAAAATTGGGGGAATTAAATCCTGAATTTACAAATTTCAGAAAGGTATTGGATTTGGATTCCGTAAGGGCAAAGGTTCATCCATGTACTTATTCCTTCATGATCATTTTGCTGCTGTCTAATTATAATGAAATCGAAATACATGAGATAAATGCATGCCCTTGATATATACTATCTCATGGCCTTTGAAGTCAATGGGGAGTTTTGCTGGCTAAGAACTGCACAATAAGTTTTAAAATTTGGCCCTAAATTTATATACAAGTATTTCCTTTTCAATTAGTTCAAACATTTAAAAATGAGGTGATTATTTGTGCATCGGCAATTTCTTCCCAGAGATGAAAGTCTGGCACAGTTCCCTTCTGTTAGCCCAACTCCACATTTATACAGCGATAGTCTCTTCAAAGAATTTTCCTATATGCCTGCAGCCCTAGAGAGCCAACCTGAACCAAGATTTATTATGAAGTATATACTTGTTAAAGTGTATAATAATCAGCAGTCACAGTATGAACAGTCTTGCAATATAGCCAGCAAACATTAGTTTGCATGCAGTTATGCTTATTAAGATCCATCAACCACATGAGGCCATGAAAACAAATGAAAGAATGGGCGTTTCTTATTTCTGAAAGGCAGCTGCACCTACAGCCAGCCAGTTTGGATGGCATTGGATATCTGATATCAAAGACCATACAAGATACTGTCAAAAGGCCCCTTCCACACCATTACAATATTTGGTTCCTCAACATGTTGGGCAGGTCCAGACAAGCGTGCATGTGTGACGTGCAGGATGCAAATCCATCTGCAGTGCTGCACA